GTGGAGGAAGTTCTTTCCACGTCAACTTACTGAAACTTCTTGCTCTCTCTTTGGCATGTCCCCATTTCCTCCCTTCTTCTCGTGGATCAATTGGTCGTTATCCACTCTTAAGAGTTATTTCTTATGTCAGCTGTCATACAGTACACTTTTCAGGTTTCTGCTTCCATACATTGGACCTGCTGTATTGAGCTCATTTCCATCAGGCTCATATCATGACTTATCACATACTACAAGCTCTAAATCTGGTGATGGATCACCTTTCTCAATCAGACAAGATTCTACCGTGGAGTTATCTCTACACCCTCTAGTTTTTTTTTTTCTGAATTTGCTCTTGGCCCATATTTTGGCCTTTTTCACATGGTTGTTCAACAGTAGATTTTCTGTTTCCAATATTGCTGGTTGTTGGGTAGCTTTATCAACTACAGTTCACCTTTTCTGTTACCATTGGATTTTTTCTTCCCCTGTCCTTCCTTCTTCAGTAATCCCCTCATTCTATTCTCATGCTTGACTGGGATCTTAATTTAGTTTTTCATGATCTCATATGTGCTTCATTTAAACTTTTGACTACATGTTCCTTATAACATCTTTCTTTGAAGACATATCTACATCTCCTTCTTGCCTGTGATCATTATCATTTGGATGCAATATGCTATTGATGCTTCCTGCATCCTCTTTCAACATACTTAAGGGGTGTTGCAAAATAAATCACACTTTTTCCCCTAAAGAAATGATGAACTTGGACCCTGACTATCATCACTTATGAGATAACGTCATTTCAATGTACTCTTGGGTGTTTGATTCACGAATTTCATTTTTTGAATCATGGTGCTCACTAGAACTTAGGTTTGTGTCACATGTGCTGCCTTCGGGATGGCTCAGAAACTAATTGCAGACATGCTCCAAGAATTTAAGTCAGAGCTTTTGTTCAACAATGCACAGAAGAAATGTTGGAAACTTTGCCTGAATGTGAAAGACACAAATGTGAAACCTTGATTCGTGTTCTCACTGATGTGCTCACAGAGACAGTCACAAAAACAGGCATGTTTGTTGCATTGCTGAAATCTTTTGCAAATTAATTAAAACTCGTGTGTGAGAACAACGGTGGCCCAATTAAGTGATATTGATACTTGGAATTACTTTTTTGATTGAATTCAAATATTATTTTACTTTGTTATGCTCTTGGGGAAAAAAGGGTGATTTATTTTGCGACACCCCTTCTGTATCCTGACTGGGCCTTTTTTCATAAGACTTCAGTTGCTTGAGAAGGTGATCATTCTTTCTCTCTTATGCTGGTTCAGACTTGGATCATCTGCTGTGACCAGTTTGGGATAATCAATGTTACTTGGCGAATATGTCTCCCTTTTCGGGTTCTCTTCATCATTTATTTCTCCTTTGGGACCTCTCGCCTTTTATCCTTACATGATGACGTCATGCACTAGTGCTAAAAATAGAATTTCAGATCTATATTTTGTCCCCCACATCACACTGCCCAAGGGGACCTTCCTTTAATACCATAACTTCAGTTGGGCTGGATAATGAAAGACATGGGGAACAAAAGATAGATCTGAAATACTATTTTTATACACTGCTGATTTGGAACCCAAAATCTACAAATTAAGAGGATTGTGGAAAAAACATTAATTCATGTGATTTTTGTTACAGATTTTAGACCCAGTATTTCACAAAGCTTTTCCAACTTTTAAACTAAAAATTATGCAAAAGATACATTATAAATATCCAGTGATTTAGTAAATAGGAATGTTATGGAAGTCAGAAAAAGTCACAGTATGTAAAAAGTTAATGAAGTTATTCTCAAGTGGATTACTCCAAAGACTCATTGTTGTATATATATATATATATATATACACACTGGCCCCTCCACCTTCTCAATGTGGGATTCTAGCTAAAGTGTCAGAGGATGTTAAGTATGTATTGGAAGTTAACATTTTTCCTAAATTGAAAATGTATTTCCAATAATATTTACCTCCGCTGATGCTCTCCCACCCTTCCTCCCCACTTAGAGCCAGTGTTAGTGTTGGGAATGGCTTAAGTCACTAAAAAGTGATTATATTAACTGAATGAGGTGCTTATATACAGTACATGGATAAAGGGCATATTAATGTTGGTGGAGAGTTTTGCAAATTAGATATTGCCAATGGTATTCAAGTGGGATATAAAAAACTGGAGCAAGCAAGTTCAATGCTTAGATGGGCAAAGAGGTAGAAGCCTTGAAGATTGAGAAATAGCTCTTCAATGGTTACAACAGAATGTGTATGGAATCAGTTCAATGGACTCACCCTATATTGGGGAAGTAATATTGACTATAATTCTGAATTTATTATTGTGTATCTTCATGAATTGTGGCAGGCATTTAGCAAACAATACAAGTTTATTGTACTCAAAAAATTAACTCTGCTAATAAAGTATTTGTACTCAAGATACATCTGTGAATTGATGATGTAAGGTAATGTTCAAGGGAAAATAAATAAATAATACATTTTTCTATCTTATAGTTTGCATTTTACATTTGCTTAACTTCTAGAACTTCCAAAATGCATATCTACAGTTTTTAGAATATTGTATCTAGTATTTTCTTTCTTGTTACATGAATTGTCACTAAATCAGCATTGTAGGGTAATATGAGTAGTTAGTAACTCCCGAAATCAAATACATAATACCATGTTTGAGTGGCATCTGTAGAAGGTGGTGGCATGTGTATTTTGACTCTAACACATAAACACAGAATTAATTGAAAATAATAACTTCAAAACTATTTTATAATTCATATATTTTTTTTAATATTTGTTTTATTTAATTCGTAAATAAAAAGGAAAAAGTTCAAACTTCATTTTTGAACAGCTCCGAGGAGTCGTGGCTGTGACAATGTACTTACATTTTTTTATTACCCAGATCCTAAAGAATATGTTCATATTTTTTAAGAAACTTGAGAATATTATGCTCAGTGTTTTTTTTCTAATGCAATTTTTCTTTCTCTTTTATGACCTCACAGCATGTGATGTGAACAACTACTAATGAAACTCATCTTTTAAAATAGCTACAGGCAAAGCTTAAATATCAATATTAAATTTTGGCTAGATTAGATTTAAACAACTTGCACCAATGTAGAGTCAGTAAAGGGGTATGAGAAATATTTTGTGGTTTTGTGGGAAGATGTATGATTATATGCAACTGCTGAAAAGAACAATGAAATTTTATGGGTAGTTTATGAGACTGGAGGTGATCCACACTGAACGTAAGTGATGCCACTTCCTTTAATAGCACCTATCTGAACTTTTTTTTTTTCCTCACTGTACAGCTTGAATGAAACTGAGCAGTCATAGGTAAAGTTAACACCTTTGACACAGCTCAAAACACAGAAGCATGTGAAATATAGAAGATGAAAAATTGAATTATTGAAGTGCAGCATTATCCTGTGCTGTACAAATGAAAATTAAGTATGTATAAAGACATTTCCAAGAAGGATAATGCCTGGCTGAACTTCACAGTTATTTTTAGAGTCTCTGGTGAATAAAAGCTCATTTATTTATTTATTGTTGTGAATAAATAGATGATCATATGGCTTCCTAAGCACTGGGACACTAAACAATGTTTTAAAGTTGCTCTTAAACTGAAATACTTTAATGTGTGAATAAAGCTAAATTGAATATTTTTGCTTAATAACCATGCAGATAATAATACTAATAATGAAGTAATTTTAAATAATGAGAAGTAACAAACAAAAAGGGTCATATAATGAATTTGGAAAGAATATCTTATTTTTTAAACAGAGTTAAGATTCCAGTAAGTTGATTCAATAATAAAATTGGATAGTTCATCTTCAGAGTGTGCATTTAGAGCTGACATTAGAAATGCACAAGATCACACAGATATATATGGGCCTGGGCCTGGGCCTGGTCATATGATTATTTCTAGCCTTTGGAATTGCTTTCATTTTGTATCTGGTACAAATAGACACTGTTCGAAAACTATGGAAATTTTCTTATATGACAAGACAACAGCTAAGTCTAGTTAGGTTTAGAGAGCATAGTAAGCAAAAGCAAAATATTCTAATAGCTCATAGTTAAGTTTATTGTATTCAAACAGTGTTGCTAAGTAAAGGAACTTATTAATTATTGAAAAGGAACTATATTCATTAAATATAATTTGATTTTTACCAAGAATATTTATCTACCCTGATATGACACCATTTTGACAAGATCAAAATGTAGGTCATATCAGGTCAGGCAATATGTAGGTCAGGCAATAATGACTACTGCAATCAGCAAAATACGGTATTAACTTATCAATCAAGTTGAAATTGATTGCGTAAAGCAAATGCAATTTGCTGATCTAGAATAAAAGAATTAAAGTTCTAAGAAAAAAGAATTTTTAATGTTTTTCAAAACAGTCTCCCAACAATATTTTGGAAATTTCACAATATAAAAAATGATAGAACAAGTAGATTAAATCATATGATTTTTTTAAAGCCAAAACTATGGACTGTTTAGCAAGTTTTTACTAAGATTCATGCAATTTGATTAAGTTCATCCTGTTTGAAGTGAAAAAAATCAGCATTCCTATAATATAAAAAAAAAAAGGGTTAGTAGTAGGAGTGGCACAATACAGTTATCAGGGGGAACATGGATCTGACTAGTTAAGAAGTTTTTCATGTTTCTTCAAAATATTGCTGGTATAATAACAATTCCTTCTTAAACATTATACAAATACTGTTTCTTAGACATGGGAAATGAATATCTGAAGGGGTGCATTCGTTTCAGAACCTATGACTTAAGAGTATCCAGAACAGTTGAAAAAACATTTTACAGAAGAAACACTGATGTTTCATACAATAAATTCTATATGGGACCCATTTTAAACATTTTGTATGAGTTATTTGACCAAAGGTTTATCACTTTTTAAGAATAGCTATGAATTATTAGACATTTTAAAGACATCTTTTCTCTTGAAAAAATAATATATACACTTTGGAAAATTTTCAGGTACAGTTATATGATTGACAACATCATCTTGCTGATCACAGGAACTCTCCACCAAAGACCAATATCTGAGCTTATTCCCAAATGTCATCCTTTAGGAAGCTTTGATCAGATGGAAGCCATTCATATTGCTGCCACACCTGCTGAGCTATATAATGCTGTATTAGTAGACACTCCTTTAGGTAGGTATTTCAAAATGTTTTTTGCTTCATTAAGAAGGGATGTATTGGAAGGTTCATTCACTAGCCAGGAATTCAAAGATAGTTCTAATCACTCAAAGTTTCATTAAGCAGCATTCAAGCAGTGTCAGATTTTTTCTTATTTTTGTTAGCAGAATCTGTTATGTTTAGTGATTCAATGAAATTTACTGAATGGCTAGTGTACAAGTGTTATGGTGGAATAAGTATAATACTTAAAATATACACTAACACAAATAATTTTTATTGTTAATTAAGGAACAATTTTATGTTAAAAAGACTATGACTCTTAATCTGCTTGGAACAGTGACCATGAAATATAGATTTGTTCTGCTTAAGTCAGCTGCAGTTCTTTTAACTCTCTCACTATGGGCTCAGTCAATTCAACCTAAATCTTGACCCCAAATTTACCTTTAGAGTTTCCATACTGTAAGTTTTAATATGTTTTTTTTTGCAAAATTTTGCAAGTCTTTATTAAGCATTACAAGTCTTTTACAGACAAAAGATCAGAAGTTTTAATGAAGTATTTTTACAAAATATTTCTCCATGAATATATGGGAGATGATCATCTAGTGAGCTGATCTTCATTGGACCTCGCCTCAAGTTTGGGAGAACACACATTTTGACATATAGTTCAGCGACTTTGGAAATTATAATTTTATTTTTAATATTATTATCTGTAGTTATTTGAGTTCTATAACATAAGTTTTGTCAGATTGGTTGATACTCATAGTCCAATTCTGGTTAGAAATTAGGCTTAGTTGTATCCTTTCTCCTGTATTTTAGGATTACTTGCAATTCATCTTACTGATAAACTGTTTTTCTTCCATACATCACTTCTAATTTTATAAATAATATAGTATTAAATGGCAGAGAGAGCTAGGGGCAATTTGTGAAAAAGAGGATGTGACAGGTGGCCATGGCAAGAGGCATCTGATTTTCTATTTTATGGCTCTGTAACCAAATATGGTTGAAAGCTATAAAAGTTATGCTTTGCATGAGTAATAACAATAGTGTAATGAATAATTTATATTAAATTGCATATTTCTCAGAAGGGTGGTAAATAAATTAGAGAAGAGGGTATATCTAGAGAGCAGATGTCACAATTCTAATAATAGGGTGAGATTGGTTGAGGATTTTATAAATATTTCTTTATAAAATTAAAACTTATATAATATAAATTGATTTATTAACTATGTTTTCATGTTATGTTTATTCATATGCCATGATAATAAAGTAGTTTAATTAAATATTAATGGAACTCTTGTAAAAAGTCATGACATGCACACTTTGTCCTGCCCGTAGTAAGAGAATTAATTGGATGCAATAGAATGCCTTTGCAATGCAAGTTTACTGTATGTATCAATATGAATATCACACTTAGCATCATGTACTTAAACATTGTGCATATTTTATTTTTGTTTAACATATAAAACATTATTAACTTTCTCTATAATATATTTTTAAACAACCTGTGAATGTTGTATTTCATTTATGTGGCTTACCTATAAATGAAATGTTTTCAATTAAATATTAACTAGTATCACACTTAGCATCATGTACTTAAACATTGTGCATATTTTATTTTTGTTTAAAATATAAAACATTATTAACTTTCTCTATAATATATTTTTAAACAACCTGTGAATGTTGTATTTCATTTATGTGGTTTACCTATAAAATGAAATGTTTTTCAATTAAATATTAACTAGTAGTTATGGTCAAGTAATCAGTAAGTTATGAAAATTAGCATTATTGAAGGTTCAAACTTTCAAATGGTAATGTGTTCCAAACCTTCATAGGTCAAAATATACCTTCATTACGGCCCTATATGTGAGTAGAAATCATTACTGCAAATGCAAGCTGTATGTAGTTTTAGTGCACATACTCATCAGAGGCAAGGTTATGATGTTACCATAATTAATGGATGAATAAATCATGTAATGAAAACGTATCTTGTATAAAGATTATTCAAGAGTGAGATCAGTAAAGTATACTCCAGATATTTTGTATATTGTAGCTCCCTTTTTTGTGGATTGTATCTCTGAGCAAGATCTGGATGAAATGAACATAGAAATCATCAGAAATACACTTTACAAGGTACATCCATCATCACATGCACTTGATTGAAATTGTTTTATGTATTTATTGTATTTTTTATTTAACATAAAATATTTACAACATTGTGGCAATATTCTATTTTTATTAGATAGTAGGGCAGGTTGATGTTATCGTTTATTATATATTTGTCTGCCTAGAATTAGAGCTGGACAATTTATTCAAAATTACTATTACATTGATTGTCACAAAACAATCAACTAATTGCAATTAGTGGCTCCAGTTATTTGTGTTTTCCATAATTCTAACAACTGATTAATCAAAATTCTGATACCAGTTGTCATGAAAATAATCAACGAATCAAAATTATGGTTAATTTGACTATCACAGAAATAATCAAATAAGAGACAGGATTTCTCTTATTACTATTTACAATTTCAAAATATCAAAGAAATATTGTCTTTATCTTTGTTTGTTATTAAGCACAAAGGTACATAAAGGGCTACCTGTGTTTTACTCCATTAGGGGTATTGAAACCTGAATTTAGCATTATAAGATTTTTACTAAATAATTTTCAGCTTTGGGCAGGCAAGGCCTGGTAATTGTAGAGGGATCTTGTGATTTGAGGGTCTCTGGTACAATTTCCATTGCCACCAAACTTGCTTACACTTTGTTTTTATGACAAAACTACTGAGGTTCTCTGCCACTCTCACTAATTTTGAACTGCTGATTAAAGGAAAGGCAATTGGCTGGGAGTACTCATGACGTACTTAAATGTTAAATAAAGTGTAGATCGTAAATTTACTGTTTGTGTGCATTATGTTGAGTTTCTGATATATAATTTTGTAACTGTTTTGTTCAATGTTATATAATTAGATGAGAATCTAGGGGAGGGGTCTGAACCCCTCCATATTCTCCAGATGTTAATAAAGTAAACAGCCATATGTAGTTATACTACCATATAGTATCAAAAATAAGCATGAGATGCCAGTGTTTTTATGTGATTAGCTATTAATTATCATAAAAGCTTTTTCATGGTTTTCTGAAATCAACACAGCTAGTCTACAGCAATCCAATTAAGGCCTCAGCCAATAACTGGTATTTCCTAAGCTAACAACAATATCAATGTCAATTAACCCTTACGACATGGGTCACAGGTGAAAGGCCATGTCATCTTGTTTGTTCACTCGCATTCAAAATTTTATTGAACT